ATGATTTTAGCATTGTTTTAGCATGATTTTAGCATCGTTTTAGCAAAATTTTAGCATGATTTTAGCATTGTTTTAGCATGATTTTAGCATTGTTTTAGCATGATTTTAGCATGATTTTAGCATTGTTTTAGCATGATTTTAGCATTATTAAAGCATGATTTAAGCATTGTTTTAGCATGATTTTAGCATTGTTTTAGCATGATTTTAGCATTTTTTTAGCATGATTTTAGCATTGTTTTAGCATGATTTTTAGCATGATTTTAGCATTGTTTTAGCATGATTTTTGCATTATTATAGCAGGATTTTAGCATGATTTTAGCATTGTTTTAGCATGATTTTAGCATTGTTTTAGCATTGTTTTAGCATTGTTTTAGCATGATTTTTAGCGTGATTTTAGGAATGTTTTTGCAGAATTTTAGCACGTTTTAACATAGTTTTAGCTTTATTTTATCACTGTTTAATATTATTTTAGCATTGTTTTTACTTAATTTTAGCACTGTTTTGAATTGTTTTAGCATTGTTTACAAAGAGAATCAAATATCAAACACTACAGAGCCGTTGGTCCATAAGGGGCGGATGACCAACGTCCACAAATGTTAATAAATGTTCATCATCACTGTCCTTGACACTCGACAAGAGAGAGGGATCCACTCTCACGGATCATTGAGCTACAGATCCAAAACTCAGTCCAGAGTAGAACGTTTAAGTTTTGATGCACAACTGTATTTTATCACTGGCATTATTAGCTAGAAAAACCTCAGAATCAGATCAAAAAGAAGGCAGATGTTTTGAAATATTAGCAACTTTTTCTACAGAAATACGAAGCAAAACCTGAACAAATGCATTCTTAATATGTAGCCAGTGTAGCAGCGCGGGCCCCGACACCTCCCCTGTGTTCCTGACAGGAGTTCCTTGTGTAAATCAGTGCTCTGTGACCTTGCTCCACCTCTGCCTGGCTGCTATAAGCACTTGGCTCACTGCTTTATCACTGCAGAGAGGAGCCGGCCAGGTCTGACAGGGCACACAGGCTCCGCGGCCCGAGCACACACGACGGCCTCAGCTCTGGACGTCCAAGGATCACAGCCATTAGAACAGAGAGAGAGATGGTTCAATGCTATTTCATAATAATAATAATAATAATTCAAGGTTCAAGGTGAAACTGTATTGTCTCTTCAGGTGAATCTGTTTTAGGCTCGCAGCTGTTGAACACAAAACATACAAGACATCACCAACCATTCACACACACACACACACACACACACATACACGTTTTTGTTACCTGGTGGGTCCCTTTGACAGGGCCGTTCAGAATGGGACCCATAGACATAATCTTTTTTTACCAAGACTTTAAGTAATACAAAACAGTCAATAGAAACCAAACAACTATTTTAAAGGAATTTTATTTTAGATTTTGTTTTCGAATTGCAGTGATTCTATTTTTGACATAGAATTTAATGCCACTCCATGTCCGATGTCTAAGGTCATCTGGTGAGGCATTAATGCAGGCCAGGCAGTGAGACTTCCCAGGGACCTTTCCAGTCTGTATGAAAGGTGTCATGGTCTTCTCCACAGCCTTCACCTCAGATGCAGACCATGCCTTTCTTACACGTTCTAGGGAGAGAAATAAAAATATATTAGCAATATACACTCCCAGGGTGAGGACCAAGCAGCCTGGCTGTAATCCCCCACCTGGTACACTTACCAGAAGGGGCACTGCCACTACCATGGGGTGCATCTGGATGAATGGTTGAAGGTTCTCCGCTTGAAGTTTCTTTTAGCCCGTCCGTTTGTGAGAGGATCTCTACTGCTCTCCCTGTCGCACAGAAAATAAAAATACAAGTGGCCTTTAGGGGAAAAAAATCATACATATTTTAATAATATCAAGAATTACCTTCAGGCTCAATTTGTATCTGGTCGAGGCTCTTTCCTTCGAATTCCGTCACTCTTCCCTGCTCCATGGCCATCAACACTTTGCTGATTTTGGCCAGCTCCAGTGTCCCCTCTGGTAGTCTGTAATATTGCCTGTGGATGCGAATGTCATGGCCGAGGAAGTTGGCAAGTATGTCCATCTCATTCTCTTTCATATTGAGAACTGTAGACATAGTAGCTATGTGCTTTCTAAGTTTGGTTGAGGATAGCATCTCTGGATGCACCGCACCACATTCTTTGGCTACCTGGCGTAGGGAGTCTGATCCCCTGATGTGGGTGTCTGCGCCCGGGCGGGAAAAGAAGTATGGGTTATGGTCAGAGATGGAACAGGCCCTTCTGTTCTCCACCAGCACCTCCATCGAAGCAATCATTTCAGGAGTCAAAAGAACCGGCACTTTCCGACTTCTTTTCCCTTTAATTTCAATGCGTTGAAAATGCTGACACAGCTTTTTCTCAAGTTGGGACAGTCCCAGAGCAATGTCAGAATGGATCCCAGTCTTACTTCTTAAGGTAAAGGCTGTCAGTGGCATCTTTGAAACCTCACCTTCCCTTCTTCGATTGAAAATGATGACCTCACAAAGAGTCAAAACTGCCAGTTTAGACCAATGCTTAGACGTTGGCTCACTTATTAGGGTTTGCACATATTCAGGTCGACATACCTCAATATGTGCATGCATGGCTCTAACGTCCTCAGTCAGAGGGAGCAGGTCCGGAGTGTTCCACTTGGCTTGCCGGAGGGTCTGTAGGGCAGCAGAAGAAACACAGACGTCCCACCTCTTCTCAAAAAGCAGCCGGCTTCGTTGGAGGTTTTTAATAAATAGTTCATCAACACAATGCTCCATTTTTGAGTCACATTCAAGAATATCTGCTAGCTTTCTGAGGCTATGGCCGAGTTTGAGGGCCAAGGATGGAGTCTTGTATTGATTTGTTTCCTCATCATATCCAGCCACAGACCTGACTGCATCAATCACATGGTTAAAGTTGGAAGGAATAAAGAAATCCTTAATTGTTTTCAGTTTCCCTGCGGTTTTTGCTTCGTTAATTAACCTACCGACTTCTCTCATTTTCTGCCTAATGTAATCATGCTTAGTCTTATCATGCCCGTGTTTTAAGTACAGGTGCTCTCCGAGTCTCAGAATCCCCTTTTCTGCTTTGACAACACCCGTGACCTCATCCTGATGCATTGCCGAAATTAAAGACCACAGCTTTTTGCTGATGCCCTCCGGTACAGGCTGGGCTAGGGAGCAGAGGGACTGGACCCTACTTCTACCTGGTTTAGCCTGGGCATCTTTCTGTGAAAGCCGGCACCTGGCCACATGCCTCCACAGCGACTTTCGCTTAAGCAATGCCCCACAGTCTATACAGTGCAAAAACTCACTGGATTTAACTGGGCAATTTGGCTGTTTAGCTGGGACTAAAGTTCCAATGCCGGCCTTTAAAACCTCAAAATTGTGCTCACGGTTTCCACTATTCCTGATCAAATCAAACTGAAGTTTACGTGCTTTAGATTTCACAGGTAGAGCCAATGCTCTGGCTACGTCACTTTCATTTCCATGTTTTCTAGTCAAATGACGGGACATTTTGTGGCAGGACATTGAACAGTAGAGGCAGAAGTGTCTCTTGCTGTAAACTCGCCCCCCATTTTTCTTCTTTTGCAGCTGCATGATAACAATCTTATTTGCCTTTGGTTCGTCACTTTCCGAGTCTTGAAGAAAAGTGTTTTTGATTTTTCTTTTTCCATACTTTTTTACAGGTTTCTTCTTGACAGTTAAATCGTCAGAATCTGAGTCGACTTCATCAATTAGGGACTCTTGACTAAGCTGCACAAACAACAAATAATTTGTAATCATTCTATATAACAATTTGAAGTCATGACTTGTAGTCAGCACTTACCAGTGGTTTGTAAGCGTGCACTTCAGTGTGCTCCTCCATGATTTCTTGCAGCCTAATGAACCACACACTTGCACCTTTTTCTAGCCTGACACCTGATTTCCTCTGTTGTGCTGCTCCATGATTGGCTCCAGCCTGCTGGACTGAAATTGCCCCAGTGTGCCCCTCCTATATATCCCGCAACCCACCACCAGGGTTCCGACACATAACACACTTTTTTCAGGAAAGTAAACCTCCAGGGGTCCTTTCCATATTTTTACAGAGACTGCATAAGGACCGTTAGAAAAGCATTACCCATTGATTATTAAGCTTGGACCAGTGGGGTCCGGTGTTCGGGCCCCACCACGTAAAACCAGTCCCCATGACGTGAGTGGAATCTCAGGTTATGGAACCCACCAGGAGTTGAAAACAAGTGCACACACACACACACACACACACACACACACACACACCAGACTCATTCTACAGGTGCAGGTTAAGAAGTACTTTGCACCTGCCCAAAACAAAGTGCTTGGGCAGTATGGCACATGACCGATTACAGAAAAAGGAGATACATGATGCAGCGATGGAGCGTTGCATCTGAACAAGGCACTTTAGACGTCGTACAGTAGCAGTCACCGGGTCAAAAGTGAAAAGTCCTGATGGTACTTTTTTGTAGACATTCATAAGTATTGTGTTTGAAAAGTGAACCGGAAGAAGAGGAAGTGAGTTTGTACAGTGGCTACGGATAATGTCAGTCATGTACAGTAGCAGTCACTGGGGCAAACATCAAGAATCCACTTAAAAAATTATTAAATGAATAAAATAAAACTAGATACAAAGAAGCACGGTATGAAAACAAGGGGAAAGGGGGTAAAAATGATGAAAAATCTAAGTAAATAAGTAAACATTTAAATAAATAAATGAATAATAAAATCTATAAAAATAGTCATCATCTAATAATTGTTGTATATATATTTCTTGTTGTTTAATTTTGTATGTTTTTCTTTGCTGTAACTATTCTTTTATAGTTAATTATTATTATACATGAATATCTTTGGGGAGGATAGTAAGAAAAAAGGATAAAAATAACATAACAAATAAATGGTGTCTTGCTTTGCTGTAAGTATGAACTAATAAAGACACAATAAAGTAAAAAAAAAAAAAGGCAAAAATGGTCTTTTGTTGTGAATGGTACTCACTCAGCAGCTGGCAGCGCAGGAGCTGGAGGCGTGTCTTCATGGTCTCATATGGTCCGGCTCCTCCTCCACAGTGCTCATGGCTCTCTGGGCAGAAAACCACATCAAAGGATAAGGAAGAGAAATGATGTCACACACACACACTGGTCAATACTGTCTGAACTTTACAGCCATGTGGTCAATGTCATCTCTGAGGGTGAAGAAATATGGAGTGAAAGGTGAGTGAGTGGTTCAATATCATTCAGAAGAGGTGGAGGTGTCGGACCATGTAAACCACACCGGTTCGCAAAGTTTAATGCCAGGCTGCGGAAGATTCTATTCAATTCTACTCTGATTATTTTTGTATATCCGACAAAGTTGCGACGGGATCATATGTTTTTTTCCTTTGAGCAAAAATGGCCGCACGAGAGACGACTGAATCCTCCAATTTATTACGAATTAAAGAAAGAAGTTACAGAAGTTGCAGAAGACAGTTATAGGCAAACCCGGAGGAGGCTCTGCGCTGTAGGCAGAGGACTGAGGGGAGAGCAATGGAGGCGCATGTATATGAAGATATATAAATAATAGTGTGTGCAAATGACAGGGGGATAACAACTATAACGTGACCAAAAGCGGAGATAAGTCAAAGGGCTCTATGCACGCAGCACTTCTGGGATCGGCTTGAGTTTCACTGGAGTTCAGAAGATGTTTACACGAGTTTCCCACATAATGCTCAAACGGGAATTAAACTGTGAGGATACTGGGCATTTTTGGGACACAGCAGTGCTCTTTGATTGTGCTGTCATTGTGTTTTTATAAAGTTTACAAATCTCTCTGAGTGGCCACAGTCACAGCTCTACCTCAGAGAGAAAGCACGTCCACACTTTTGGGTCAGTCTCAGCTGAATGTATCAATCTAATTACTAAAAAACGTCATTGCATAGACAGGAAGTAAACGGGCTGTTCTTTGTTTACAGGAAATGATGTCACGCCTCCCTGTGCATATAGCCCATAGTAGATTGTGTCCCCTTTAAGTTATATTGTGGGGCATCGACAGAAATATGTCAAACCATTAATAATTAATTATTTGTCAGTATTAATCTAAGAACACAACATTCAAAAATGTCCATCTCCATCCATTGCATTTCCAACATAACTCCAAATTCGAACAAACAGGAAAATAATACAATACAATAAAAGAATTCTTCTGAAGTAATAAAAAAGCCGATTTTTCTTCGACATTTGTTCAAAGCTTTTTCCTAATAATAATTTTTCAGTTGATATTTACGCGGCGCAGTAACAGTCGCCAGGTCAAAAGTCAAAAATCCTCCTTCGTACGCACGGTTAGACGCTGCTTCCTGCCGACGCTTTTTCAGTAGAAGTGACAGACTCAAGACGGCTTACGCTAATGGTTTCATTCAAGCACCACACACACACACACACACGCACATTACACACACGACATCCATTTCACAATAAAAGCTCAGATTGGATTTCACCTGGAGTGTCCGCCCTCATCCCCTGGGCCTTATGGACACTGGCATCCCACGGGTAAAACCAATTACACAGCATTAAACATTGACCAGTAAGTCTTCTGTCAGTGTGTGTGTGTGTGTGTGTGTGTGTGTGTGTGTGTGTGTGAGACAGGGACCCTCTTTGCAAAATAAGAGCGTGTGTAAAGAACGCCCTTGGATCTGCCTCATGTCTGAAAGCGCACACACAGAGAGAACATGACTAATCCAGGTCCTTTGTGACGTGTGCGACCGCTCTGGCTCACGCACAACGTTTGTGTGTCCCTGGAATAAAGCAGCAACAACATAGAGATGGACCTGAACCCCGTAGCACCCTCGGAAAAAAATATACAACATAAAGTTTGGTTGAATTTTTGGTAAAGAAGCTAATATGCTACGTTGCCAAATTTGGTCGTTGGATTCTGCTCTCCCAAAATATTTTCATGTCTGGGGTTAAATGAATCTATTTTTTACTTCCTCCTTTTTATCTCATTGGTTTTTGTAGTGGGTTTAAGGTTTTTTTTTAGGCTCTTGGGACGTGGAACGTCACCTCACTGGGGGGGAAGGAGCCCGAGCTTGTGGGGGAGGTTGAGCGATACCGACTAGAGATAGTCGGCCTCACCTCCACACACAGCTTGGGCTCTGGAACCCAACTCCTTGAGAGGGATTGGACGCTCCACTTTTCTGGTGTTTCCCGCGGGGAGAGGCGGCGAGCTGGGGTGGCCATACTCATTGCCCCCCATCTCAGCCGCCACGTGTTGGAGTTCTCCCCGGTGAATGAGAGGGTCGCGTCCCTCCACCTCCGGGTGGGAGACAAGTCTCTCACTGTTGTGACAGCCTACGGGCCTAACAGCAGTGGAGAGTACCCGGCCTTCTTGGAGTCCTTGGGAGGGGTACTGGACGGTGCACCACCCGGGGACTCCGTTATTCTCCTGGGGGACTTCAACGCCCATGTGGGAAACGCCAGTGACACTTGGAGAGGGGTGATCTGGAAGAACGGCCCCCCTGATCTGAACCCGAGCTGTGTTCAGTTGTTGGACTTCTGTGCCAGTCACGGCCTGTCCATCACGAACACCATGTTCGAGCACAAGGGTGTCCACAAGTGGACGTGGCACCAGGACACCCTAGGCCGGAGGTCGATGATCGACTTTGTTGTCGTATCATCTGACCTTCGACCGCGTGTCTCGGACACTCGGGTGAAGAGAGGGGCGGAGCTGTCAACCGATCATCACCTGGTCGTGAGTTGGATCCGCTGGCAGGGCAGGAGACCGGTCAGACCTGGCAGGCCCAAGCGTGTAGTGAGGGTCTGCTGGGAACGTCTCGCTGAGCCCCCTGTCAGACGGACTTTCAACTCACACCTCCGGGAGAGTTTCTCCCAGGTGGACCATGTTCTCTTCCTCTATCGCCAATGCGGCGGCTCGTAGCTGTGGTCGCAAGGTCTCTGGTGCTGGTCCCGGCGGCAATCCCCGAACCCGGTGGTGGACACCGGCAGTAAGGGATGCCGTCAGGCTGAAGAAGGAGTCCTATCGAGCAATGATGGTTCGTGGGACTCCGGAGGCAGCTGTCCAGTACCGGCAGGCCAAGCGTGCCGCGGCCCGGGCTGTTGCAGAGGCAAAAACCCGGGACTGGGAGGAGTTCGGAGAGTCCATGGAGTATGACTATCGGTCGGCCTCGAAGAGGTTCTGGCAAACCGTCCGGCGCCTCAGGAGGGGGAAGCAGTTCTTTGCCAACACCGTGTATGGTGCGGGTGGAGGGCTGCTGACCTCGACTGGGGATATTGTCGGACGGTGGAAGGAATACTTCGAGGTTCTCCTCAATCCCCCCGTCACGTCCTCCGTCCAGGAGGCAGAGGCTGAGGATGTTGGGGCGGATACTTCCATCTCCCTCGCCGAGGTCACCAAGGTGGTTGGCAGCCTCCATGGTGGCAAGGCGCCGGGAGTGGATGAGATCCGTCCTGACTATCTAAAGTCTCTGGATGTTGTAGGACTGTCTTGGCTGACACGTCTCTGCAGCATCGCGTGGCGATCGGGGGCGGTGCCAATGGAGTGGCAGACCGGGGTGGTGGTCCCTCTCTACAAGAAGGGGGACCGGAGGGTGTGCTCCAATTATCGCGGGATCACACTCCTCAGCCTCCCCGGTAAGGTCTACTCCAAGGTACTGGAGAGGAGGCTACGTCCGATGGTCGAATCTCGGATTCAGGAGGAGCAGTGTGGTTTTCGTCCCGGTCGCGGAACACTGGACCAGCTCTATACTCCACATGTGCTTTGTGGATTTGGAGAAGGCGTTCGACCGTGTTCCCCGGGGTGTCCTTTGGGGGGTCCTCCGTGAATACGGGGTCCGGGGTCCTCTGCTGAGGGCCGTCCGGTCCCTGTATGACCGGAGTCAGAGCTGTGTTTGCATTGCCGGCAGTAAGTCAGACCTGTTCCCGGTGCATGTTGGCCTCCGACAGGGCTGCCCTTTGTCACCGGTTCTGTTCACTGTATTTATGGACAGAATTTCTAGGCGCAGCCAGGGGCCGGAGGGGGTCCCGTTCGGGGACCACAGGATTTCATCTCTACTTTTTGCGGATGATGTCGTCCTGCTGGCTCCAACGAACCAGGACCTGCAGCATGCACTGGGACGGTTTGCAGCTGAGTTTGAAGCGGCTGGGATGAGAATCAGCACCTCCAAATCCGAGGCCATGGTGCTCGACCGGAAAAAGGTGCCTTGCCCTCTGCAGGTGGGTGAAGAGGTCCTTCCTCAAGTGGAGGAGTTCAAGTATCTCGGGGTCTTTTTCACGAGTGAGGGAAGGATGGAGCGTGAGATTGACAGGCGGATCGGTGCAGCGTGCGCAGTGATGCGGTCGCTGTATCGGACCGTGGTGGTGAAGAGAGAGCTGAGCCGAAAGGCGAAGCTCTCGATTTACCGGTCAATCTTTGTTCCCTCCCTCACTTATGGTCATGAGCTTTGGGTAATGACCGAAAGAACGAGATCGCGGATACAAGCGGTCGAAATGAGCTTCCTCCGCAGAGTGGCTGGGCGCTCCCTTAGAGATAGGGTGAGGAGCTCAGTCACACGGGAGGAGCTCGGAGTAGAGCCGCTGCTTCTCCACGTCGAGAGGAACCAGTTGAGGTGGCTCGGGCATCTGTTCAGGATGCCTCCTGGACGCCTTCCTGGGGAGGTGTTCCGGGCACGTCCCACCGGGAGGAGGCCCCGGGGAAGACCCAGGACACGCTGGAGGGACTATGTCTCTCAGCTGGCCTGGGAACGCCTTGGGGTCCCCCCGGACGAGCTGGAGGAAGTGTGTGTGGATAGGGAAGTCTGGGCGTCTCTGCTTAGACTGCTGCCCCCGCGACCCGGCAACGGATAAAGCGGAAGAAAATGGAGGGATTTAAGGTTTTTAAGTTTGTTTTTTTTGAGTTGTATAAATTAGAATAAAAAAAACTTGCCTATTGTTTTTGTCTTTTGGTGCAGGGTTACATAAGTTACTATAACATACTATACTATCAGTCAATACACTACGGATGTGTCAATAAATACGGCCAATATTTACTTTCTTGGGAATCTGTGGAGAAATATTTGAATTCTAAAAGTCCTAAACTGGTGCTTACTGTATTCATTGAATTTTTCCAGCTCTTTTAGTCATAATTTTGATGTAAAAAAGGTTAATATCGCATAATTGGAGATGTATCATAATCTATCGCAAGGCTTATTTGCACAACAGTTTCTCAGTCTTTTCGTGGACACACATAGAATGAAAGAAAACTCTTTTCAAAGTCCAGACGCAGCCTCCTGATGTTTTCTCTTCACCGTAGTGTCAACATTTAATAGTTGTAAGTTACACGCTGCAATAAAAGAGAATGCTTTTGAAGGCACAACACACAGACACCAGATAACAGCTGAAACATATTGGATATTGATCTAGGCTTTATGACAGGACCTCCCTTTAGTGCCTCCCAAAGAAAGCAGACCGTGTGTACGAGGAGCCCGCTACTGCCACAGATGCATTATAGATAAAAGGGGATGAGAGGAGTTGGATAAATGTGTACTGTTTTCACCCTCTACTAGGTTTGAGATAGAAGCATTTATACAGAAGGGGCGGGGGGATGAGTTTGTGCCTGACAGTAGCCTGGATGGAGCTACAGTAAACTTCTTCCACTGTGCTGCTCTGTCTCTCCACGGCCTAGCACCAAAGTATCTGTGACATGTTAGTGCCATATGAACCAACTCTGAGGAGCACAGGGACCGGCCTCCTGCTGGAACTCTGAGGAGCACAGGGACCGGCCTCCTGCTGGGACTCTGAGGAGCACAGGGTCTGGCCTCCTGCTGGGACTCTGAGGAGCACAGGGTCTGGCCTCCTGCTGGGACTCTGAGGAGCACAGGGACCGGCCTCCTGCTGGGACTCTGAGGAGCACAGGGTCTGGCCTCCTGCTGGGACTCTGAGGAGCACAGGGTCTGGCCTCCTGCTGGTGCCCAGAGTCAGGACAAAACATGAGAAGGCAGCGTTTCTAGATTCATGAAGCTAAACTCTGGTACAATCTTCCTGAAAATGTGAGACAGGCTTCTACACTGACAAAGTTAAAATCAAAGTTAAAACTGTTTTTGTTTTAACCAACTGAAGGATTTTATCTCCACTCTTCTCAATGCACTGTCATTATTTATGATTTAAATGAATTAAGTAATTTTGTTTTCTATCTTGTTTTGTGTTGCTCTTGTTGCCTTGTGTATAGACTGTGCTATACCAATAAACCTGCCTCTGTCTGCACTGCTCCTGTGTTTCCCTGCTGTTTATTAATTGACTTCCGTTGCACGTGGCCTCGGATCGCACGCCGTTCGGGAGGCAGCAGTGACGAGAGGCTTTGCAGCGTCATGTTCTGGATAATGAGCTCAATGGCACCGATCTCCGGCTTTTCACTTTGATTACACATGATCAGGACCAGAGCAGCGCATGGTCCTAGTGCCCACAGTTCACACCGCCACCAACAGTACAGCCTGCATTCAGATAATATCCATGTTGTTTTGAACCCT